ACTGTGACTGGCTTTGTTTATCTTTCTGAGCGGATAGAGGTTTGCGTTCTGTGCGTATTGTGTTGTTTATAAAGGAACGTTCTGGCTTGAATGTGAGTTAAAGCTGATTGTGTGATTTCTAAGGCAGTAGCATTGTGAAAAATAACTGTTTTCAGACAGGTTTCCTGAACACAAGCAGATACTCATGGCCCTGGTTGAGACAGTTAGGATGCTTAAACTTAGGGTGACCATACGTGCCATTTTCCCAGGACGCGTCCTGGCCAGGATTTCTATTTTTACCTCGAGAGCATTTTGAAAGCATAAGGAACCGTCTATATGGTATTTTGATGTCATACACCGATTGGTCTGCACACGCAAACAAAGCCAAAACCTAGATATTTTAGGCAATATAGAAATCCTGGCCAGGGCGCGTCCTGGGAAAATGGCACGTATGGTCACCCTAATTAAAATAAATACTCAATGTAGTGATCCAGAAATAACTGTATTTTCTGCACATAGCCTTAGCAGTGTGAACACACAAAATGCACTGTTAATGCATGCAGTGTGAAACTAGCCTTATGGTGTTTTCAAATTGCGTTAATGACCCAGTCTCCTGATAAACCAACTGATAGCAGTAACTCAGGATCGATTACCATGACAGAAAGTTGTGGAAATTAGAGGGACAAACCAGGACACCATGAAGTGGAAAATATTAGATATTTTTTCGTTTTTTCTCATGCGGCAAGGTATTTATAATATATACGTGTATATATATATATACACACACACACACACACATATTAGGCTATATATATTGTTTATTAACATTTATTAAGATTGAAAATTATTTAATAATGATCCCAAAGCAGTGTTTTTATGATGCATGCATTTTTTTTTTTTTTTAATTAAGTAAAAAGTTAAAGATGTTTAATATGCTGTGTACTAATTGTTATACACAAGTAGTATTAGTATCTAGTATCTGATGGTGTGTGTGTGTGAGAACATATATGTGTGTAATTGCAGCTTGGTGTCACATCTGACACTCTTTTCTCCCAAAAGACCAAAATTAGAAAACATGACAATCCCACTTTCCATCAGGACTGTGAACAAACCACCCACTCAAACAGACCGAAAAACAGAGACAAACACAAATACATGAATACACACACACTTTTTCCTTATTTTATTTTCAAATTTTACTTTATTAAACTATGTATGCAGTGTTAATTATGTAGGCCTAGCATGATATTTATCAAACAATAGGCTACTATTTTACTGTTTATTGTGCGCTATACACACACAGCAGGTTTGTCCACAATGCAGGTCATTTTTCATCTGTGCTACTTGCTCCATTCAGTCTAATTCAAGTAGGATTGATTTCTTTGTGTGAGGTGTGTGTGTGTGTGTGTGTGCCCTAGCTGAGCCCTGCAAATCCTGAAATATGGCAGTCCGAGATATCCAGTCTCTTTTGACAATCCTCTATTCCGGCAGATACACAGATCCACTCAATCCATGAAAATTCACGAGTATAAATGTGGCCTAGACCAAGAAGGCAGATCATGATCAATCTTCGAGTAGGCGTGATTACTACTGCCAGACTATCAGAGCTATATATAGAATCTCGCTGGACTTCGCACCCAAAAAACCCTGTGTAAACACAGCATACAGGATCAGACTCAGTCAGACAGATGTTATCATTACTGTAGATACGATGCAGCAGTGAAGTATGCCATTATAGATGAATCAATAGTGATGTGATATGTGATTCTAGACACAGAATGTTTGATATCTGTACAATGAAAACAAGAAGGCGTTTTTTAACTCAGGCCATGTCACTGCTTTCATGCT